TATGTAAAGTGGGTGATTAGAAGTACCTGTTAACCCTTTATGTAAAGTGGGTGATTAGAAGTACCTGTTAACCCTTTATGTAAAGTGGGTGATTAGAAGTACCTGTTAACCCTTTATGTAAAGTAGGTAATTAGAAGTAAATCTCTACCTCCAGTCACTGTCAGAGTTGCAAATCGATATTGAGCCTCTGTGGTGCCGGCATCATTTTGGGCTATCACCAAAAGGTCGTACCAGGTCCCTGGTCGTAGGTCAGTTACAACAACGTTCTTCTGATCTGGAGTCACGTGGTTAGACAACAACGTCCACTCCTTTTGGGACTGAGGTTTATAATGGATAATGAAATAGCGTAACGGGCAACCACCGTCTGTCCAAGTCAGCAAGTTGAATTTTGCAGTTGAACTGTTCGTGGCGACAAATTTTTCTACCTGTGGAGCTGTTGGTTCTGTAGTAAAAACAATAAATTTATCAATACATCCTGTAGTAAAAACAATAAATTTATCAATACATCTTGTAGTAAAAACATCACACTCGTCCAAATGGCCCTGAAATTGCATATCTCTCACAAAACAATACGTAAACATTTAATGAATATGAGAACATTCCATGAAGGTGCCTTACGTACTCGCCGATGATCATCGTTTCCAATGTACGAACGTTGCTTCATGTCGTTTAGCGCGTAATGCGTGTGAACCAGTTTTGAACAGAATTGTCACTCGTGATGAAAAACGGATTATCTATGTGAATATTAAACGCCAAAAAAGAAAAAGAAAAAAATGGCTCAGTCCTAGAAAAAAACCACTTCCGACCCTAAATCCTGGACTCCGTGAGCAGAAAGTGATGCTTTGCATTTGGTGGGACATCAAAGGAGAAATTCATTTCGAACTTCTCAGTCCACAGCGAACTGTCAATGCAGAGATCTATAGTCAGCAACTGGAACGTTTAAATCAAGCCATTCATCAGAAACGCCCTTCATTCGTCAATCGGAAAGGTGTTCTTCTTTTCCACAACAATGCACGTCCACATGTGACACGTTTGATGCATCAAAAGATTATGGAGTTAGGTTGGAAAGTTCTCCCCACCCACCATATTCTCTAGATATGGCACCATCAGATTACCATATTTTTTGTCCGCTGGAGCACCATCTTAACGGGAAAACGTATGCAACTGCAGAAGGTGTTAAAAAGGACATCGACATATTTATTGCTTCAAAGCCAAGTGATTTCTTTAATCAGGACATTAACAACTTGATTGTAAGATGGAAAAGCATCATCGATAAGAATGGAGACTATTCCATTTAATATATGATTCGACGATATGGAAATGATACTCTGCGAATATATGTTTGGTTTTAATATATAAGTTGTGACGTGGTTAAAACCTTCAGTATATTTATATACAGTTATAGTTGGTCGTATTGTTTTATACAAGTGACGTAGTTAAAACCGTCAGTATATTTATATACAGTTATAGTTGGTCGTACTGTTTTATACAAGTGACGTGGTTAAAACCTTCAGTATATTTATATACAGTTATAGTTGGTCGTATTGTTTTATACAAGTGACGTGGTTAAAACCTTCAGTATATTTATATACAGTTATAGTTGGTCGTATTGTTTTATACAAGTGACGTGGTTAAAACCTTCAGTATATTTATATACAGTTATAGTTGGTCGTACTGTTTTATACAAGTGACGTAGTTAAAACCGTCAGTATATTTATATATCTATATACAGTTATAGTTGGTTGTATTGTTCTAAACAAGTGATGTAGTTAAAACCGTCAATATATTTATATACAGTTATAGTTGGTTGTATTGTTCTAAACAAGTGACGTAGTTAAATCCGTCAGTATATTTATATATTTATGTACAGTTATATTTGGTTGTATGGTTTTTATACAAGTGACGTAGTTAAAACCGTCAATCTATTTGTGTATTTTATCCAGTTATAGTTGGTTGTATTGTTTTAAACAAATGACGTAGTTAAATCTGTCAGTATATTTATATATTTATGTACAGTTATAGTTGGTTCTATAGTTTTATACAAGTGACGTAGTTAAGATGATTACATTCTTTTGGTGATAAACGTTTAGATATTTTAACCATGATCTATAAATAAGCAGAAATATTAATATTATTTGATATAAGTAAGTTAGAAGGTCAAGATCGTTGTGATATAAAGATATGAAATGAATAAAATCGATTTTTGATAAACATTACAAGTTAAAATATTGAAATCTTAATGAGATAAATAATTAAGAGAAAAACACGTGAATGGATTAAAAGTTTCTGTATACGAATCGAATAAAATCACCTTTTTCCGAAAGAAAACAAAATCTGGCAACTAATAGGCTACGTATCCTAAGATGTAATACGCTATAAGAAACTGTTTCATATATATATATCTGGTCTACGCACACACATATATATATATATATATATTATTGGGTTTCTAATGACAAGATGGAAGAAGACAAAGCAGTAATATAAATAGAAATACGTCTTACTAGTTCCTTCTAATGCCACTTTAACAACCTCGCTAGGATCGCTTCTCCCCATGTCATTGAAAGCAGTCAAGTACAGTTGGTAGGTGGCGCCACAACGAAGATTGTTCAGGATGTAAGAGTATGGTTTGGATGGTAGGTTAACATCCTGCCAAGAATTAGCATCTTCTTTGTAATTCAGGATAAAACCTGCAAATAGGAAGTTGATCATGGGCAATATTAATTAGATTAAAGTTGATCATGTGTAATATAAGTAAAATTACAGTTGATCATGTGTAATATAAGTAAAATTACAGTTTATAATGTGTAATATATGTAAAATTACAGTTGATCATGTGTAATATATGTAAAATTACAGTTGATCATGTATAATATAAGTAAAATTACAGTTGATAATGTGTAATATAAGTAAAATTACAGTTGATAATGTATAATATATGTAAAATTACAGTTGATAATGTGTAATATATGTAAAATTACAGTTGATAATGTGTAATATATGTAAAATTACAGTTGATCATGTGTAATATTAGTAAAATTATTGTTGATAATGTGTAATATAAGTAAAATTACAGTTGATAATGTATAATATATGTAAAATTCAGTTGATAATGTGTAATATAAGTAAAATTACGGTTATCATGTGTAATATATGTAAAATTACAGTTGATATGTGTAATATATGTAAAATTACAGTTGATCATGTGTAATATAAGTAAAATTACGGTTTATCATGTGTAATATATGTAAAATTACAGTTTATAATGTGTAATATATGTAAAATTACAGTTGATCATGTGTAATATAAGTAAAATTACAGTTGATCATGTGTAATATAAGTAAAATTGCAGTTGATAATGTGTAATATAAGTAAAATTGCAGTTGATAATGTGTAATATATGTAAAATTACAGTTGATCATGTGTAATATAAGTAAAATTACAGTTGATCATGTGTAATATATGTAAAATTACAGCTGATCATGTGTAATATATGTAAAATTACAGTTGATAATGTATAATATATGTAAAATTACAGTTGATAATGTGTAATATATGTAAAATTACAGTTGATCATGTGTAATATAAGTAAAATTACAGCTGATCATGTGTAATATATGTAAAATTACAGTTGATCATGTGTAATATATGTAAAATTACAGCTGATCATGTGTAATATATGTAAAATTACAGTTGATAATGTGTAATATATGTAAAATTACAGTTAATCATGTGTAATATATGTAAAATTATAGTTGATAATGTTTAGAATACCCTAATCCCTTATAGTGATGGCACACGACGTAACACACATTCGGTATGTAATGCTGTGTGAATATAAGAAGGGAAACAACGTCTCTGTATACACAAAGAATATCAAAGAAGTTTATGGAAATGTTCTGAGCGTTCATAAGTGTCAACAATGGTTCAACAAATTTCGTTCAGGTGACTTTAGCCTTAAAAATTGTGATGGCAGGGGCCGACGTGTTGGAATTGATATTGATGCTCTGAAGACGCTTGTTGAGTCTAACTCAAGGGAACACACTCGTGAAATGGCCCTGAAATTGCGTGTATCTCATGAAACAATACGTAAATATCTAAAGAATATGGGAAACTCCATAAAGAAGTTTGGGTTGCTTCATCTCGTCTGGTGCGTAATGCGTGTGAACCAGTTTTGAACAGAAATGCCACTCGTGATGAAAAATGGATTATCTATGTGAATATTAAACGCCAAAAAAAGAACAAAATGGCTTAGTCCTAGACAAAAACCAATTCCGACCCTAAATCCTGGACTCCGTGAGCAGAAAGTGATGCTTTGCATTTGGTGGGACATCAAAGGAGTAATTCATTTCGAACTCCTCAATCCACAGCGAACTGTCAATGCAGAGATCTACATTCAGCATGTGGAACGTTTAAATCAAGCCATTCATCAGAAACGCCCTTCGCTCGTCAGTCGGAAAGGTGTTCTTCTTCTTCACGACAATGCATGTCCACATGCGGCACGTTTGGCGCAACACAAGATTATGGAGTTGGGTTTGGAAGTTTTTCCCACCCACCATATTTTCCAGATGTGGCACCATCAGATTACCATTTTTTCGTTCACTGCAACACCATTTTAATGGGAAAACGTATGCAAATGTGTAAGGTGTTAAAGAGGACATCGACATGTTTTTTCCTTCAAAGCTAATCGATTTCTTTAATCAGGACATTAACAACTTGATTGTAAGATGGAAAAGCATATCAAAACAAAACATTTATATTAAATGAAATAGTCTCCATTCTTATTGATGATATAAGTTGTTCGGGCTTTTTCATCTGAAAAAAAAAGCGACATTAATTTCTTGACGACCTATCAGTAATATTTTTAAATATTTAATCACACTTCATGAGAAAAATTTGTAAATTCTAATGCAGCAGCATATTGTCCCAAATTCTAGCTGTGGTACCACGAGCGACTTATTTAGCATCCACATGTTTTGTATATTTAATTCATGGGTATTTTCATTCATATCCGAAGAGAAATTTTTATTCAGTGAAATTTTTAAACGATGTATGAACCTAAAGTACATAGCAATTCAAAGAAGGGAGCCTTCATTGTTCCCAATGGAAGCAGAAGTACTCGCACAACAAAGCCTTTTGAAGGTTAGATCCACGAAAGAGAGCTCTTCAATCCTGAAATAAAATTTGTGGTGAAGCTGGACATATCTCTTGTTACCAATATCAAGATAATATTGACCGTAAGACTTATTACGATCATCGATTGAGGAAGCAGTTCCAAGAGCAGCAATGTACATCATTCTTATAAAGCAATTGCCTTCTTACTTGCATCATTAAGAAAAACACATATTATTCTGTAGTAAATTTAGAGTTTTTGCATTAGATTTGTTATTACAGTATACTGCTTTACGAATAGTATAAACTATGTGCTCCCCTCCTCAGTGGCTCAGAAGTAAGTAGGAAGGCTTATGACTCTAAAAATCAAGTTTCGATACCCATGGGGACCACAGAACAAATAGTCCATTGTGTAGCTTTGTAGTTAAGAACAAACAAACAAAAGAATCTACTTAAGTTCTATATATGGATGGATCCATAACAACATATAATTGGAATGATAAGAAAGCAACAAGCTGCCAGAGAATAACTCGATTCTTCTTTTGGAAGACCATGGGCCATGATTTGCTATTTTTGTAAATATAATTGAAAACCTGTATGTTCATTGCATGATGTCAACATACCATAAAGGACACTTTAATACGTTATAGGGAGTCCATATTTCCCGCAATAATAGCTGAAGCCCCAAAATGTATTGGAAATTCTATTGTATGATTTATGTTGACAGAGTATCATGTAGGCGGATAAGTCCTTCTAACCCATCCAAAGATGTTAGTTCGAATTGTGATACAATGAGTGTGATTGCTAAAAACAAATGACCGACGTCACTGTCATGCACTTCGAACCAATGTTTGAACAATACACAGTGGATCGTTGCATTATTTGAAGAACACTTGTGTGTTGCAATGGAATTGATGTATTATGGGATAGATATGATCGACAACATCGTTCAAATATAATATGTGGGTTTTATTCTTTCATCTAAAGTAATCCAAAGGCCAACTAACGCTTCGAGAACATTTCGTCACCTCCAACAGCTGGCACTTTGAAACAATTTGATCAGGGTAAAGTGATTGATGTGCTTTTCTATACACACTTTTGCTCTTCCATAAGTATATAAGACAGTGAAATTAGACACATTACGCACTTCCAGTCACATATTGTCAATTTTCTGTCCTAGGCATCACCGGAGTTGTAATTTCTTGTTTGCATCTGAGATATAACTGTCATATGGTACTATTGGAGATAATAGAATCCTGATCATTGTTTAAGGAAACGACCAATTTGTGAAAAATGTTAATAATGATCCTGTTAGACAAGCGCCGACTATCAAACCCCTTTGAAAGTCGAAAATATTTTTGTTTTACCATCTTTCATGGGGAGTAACGATGGTAGGACTCTATCTATTCACTTATATGGATGGGTTAAACAATCATCTGACATACAACATAATATGTCTATTTTGCATATATAAACTAAAGAAGTGACCCAGAACTGGATGTGGGGATGTGATAAGGTAGCCAGACAGTATATTAGTACATGCTTTTTTTTTCAAAACACAATATGGCACTTCTTAATGATATGGGTGAAAATATAAATCATTTTAGACAGAAGAATGTGGAGCCTAAAGAAGGTTATTATATTCAAGTACATTTCAAGTTGAAAGCAATATTTAATTTGATTTATTAAGTACTCACACAACCTGCCAGATTCTTGTTTGCTAGTTCCTTAACTTGAATTGGAATACACTAAAACATACATTAAACGAAACTCACCTATAAACGTGTTGCTATACAAACCATTTATAAAGAATAGGTTTAAATATTAGTTTCTTATTATTCTCCCTTAATAAGCGTAGAATCATCGTGCGTAAATGTAAACAATGACCAGTCAAAAAACTGTAATTTTAACAACTTTTGTTGGTGCTACTCATGGTTTCAGTTTGGAGACTAAACGATCACCTGAACAACTGGCCAGGTGGTTAGGGAGCTCGACTCGCAATCTGCGGGTCGCGGGTTTGAATCCCATTCCCACCAAACATGCTCTCCCTTTCAGCCGTGGGGGCGTTATAATGTGACGGACAATCCCACTACTCGTTGGTAAAAAGTAGCCCAAGAATTGGCGGTGTGTGGTGATGACTAGCTGCCTTCCCTCTA